ATATATATATATTATCTATTTTTGTGTGCATTAGTATAAAAAATATTACCTTTCAATACTTTTTTTTTAAAATTCAAATACTTATTTCGTTTTTGATTATTTTAAAATGAATTTGGTGTGAATTCTTTTAATCTTGGTTTTCTAGGATAAACAATTAGTTGTTTTATATACATGTATATAACTTTTTTTAATAATTCTTACCATTTATTACCATTATATGAAAAAAAAACTGATGATAATATTTATCTCTTTTTTTTTTATAGACATAGATCACACTGTATTTTAAAGTTAATAATTAAGGATTAATATGTACTTGTAGAATGTGATTTCTATTAATCAAATATTATTTTAAAATAAATGAGAAAACATTATATAGATGCTACTTTTTTATGTTATATATTAATAACAAAATACGTCCGAGACAAATTGAAAAATATTTAGATATAGTAATTAAAATAAAATATATTTTTTTGTTACATTAAAAAAGAGCATTATGTATAAAAACCAAAATTATATTTTAACTTCTAAAATAATATCAAAGAGATATGTACTTAATAAATTAAGGAGGTTTTGTTAATGAGTACATTTTAAAAGTATTGATTAGAAACATTTTACAATACTTACTATAAGTATTTCTCTAAGGTTGTGTTTGGATTGAATGATGGATTTAGGAGAGTGAAAAAGGAAAGATTTGAAGAGAAAGAAGTGGAAAGTGAGGTTATTTGGATTAAGGGAAAGATAGTAGAAAGTAAGTGAAAAGTTTGTGAGAATTTGTGTAGAAATTGATTGATGTGATAAATAAAAATTAAAAATTTAATAGATGAATATGTAATTTACACTTTTACCCTTGGATTAAAAATGAGTAGAATATTATTTATTGTAAATAATAATAATTACAATAAAATTATATTAATAGGTATAATTTATTAAAACAATAATAAATAATGATAATAATAATAATAAATATTAGAAAAATAATAAGAATGATAATAAATAATAATGATACTAATTATAATAAACAATAATAATATTAATAATAATGATAATAATAATAATGTTTATAATATGCAAAAATATGCAAGCCCATAATCAATTATGTGTCATGCATAATCGATTATGCTGGCTGGGAGTTCAGTTTTTCACCGCGGTTTGCCCTCCATTCTTCATTCTTATACATCGGCTACCCTCCCTCATGCAGAGTTTCATCTCTTTTCAGCTTTTAGACAGGAGTATTATCGGGTTTTCTCATTTTTTTATATGACTTTCATCTCTTTTCTTCACAACTTCGCGAGGAACAGCCACGTGGGTTCTCCCGCTTTTCTTCGTTTTTCTTTCAGTGCAAATCAGCGGAAACAAACGTCAAGTTTCTTCACTTTCGTTCGTCGTGAACAGTAAATCCACTTAAACAAACGTGGACTAAGTATTTATTGAGTATTGAAATGCATCCTAATTCTGATCAGCTTGTGGGACCCAATTATTCTAAACTTTTATGTAAAAAAAAATCAATTAAAAAGATTACAACATGAAACTTTTTCCCTTCCAATACTAGTTCAGTAAAAGTTAACAATGGTAAATTCACAAAATAATATTAAGTACTCCCTAGCTGTTCACAAATATTCCCTTTGTCTCATGCTATATATATGCCATTTTTTTAAAGTTTTTTATTTATCCTAAAATGTTTAATATATTTTTTTTTTTAGTTTCCTAAAATCATTTTTATCATTCAAGTTCCTACAATTCATACCTTCATAGACAACATGTGTCACAATGAAACCAGACTTTGTCAAATCATTTTTAATAGAACTTCTCTAATGGTGTATTAAAAAATAGAACTTCTCTAATAGAAGTAACAAAACATAGAAAAATACTGTATCAATAAAAAATTAATATTGAGGGAATTAAAACAACTGAAATAATTTTATAGAGATTAAAAAAATATTTAAATTACATAAATTAGAAAAATGTTTAAGCCAATAGTTTATCTATTACTCAATTTTTTTTCTTATAAAATTATAACACACAATAAATTAAGAAAATTAAATAAAGTTTTTATTATTTTTACGCTTTCTTATGAAGTAATACTAATTATAGCTAAAAAAATTGTATCAACTATACATAAATTATAAGAGTGTGTATGTAAGTTTCTTCCTTTCTAATACACTCTTGGATGCTTAGAAATAATAATAGTTAACAATCTCGTGATTTTAAATGATGAATTAATAAATAAATGAGTGACATAAAACTAAAAGAACAGAAATACTAATACTCAGTGATTAGTTGCCTAAACATAATTTTGATGAATTGAATAAAATGAATCATGTGATCTGTTATGCAATTGGTGGTGTAGCAGAATAGCCCCCATTTGAATGTGGCCCACATATTAATTATTTTTCTTTTAAATAAAATTAAAAGGCAATAGTAGTAGCTGTTTTTGGACGTCATGAAGTTGAAACTCGAAACCTTTGGGACCAGTTCTTGCACTATATGCACCTTTTCCCAAAAAGACCTTTCCACTTTAAATAACCCTTTTAATATTTGGTCCTTTCTCTGTTCAGTATTTGTACTACACTCCTAAATGGGTTTATACTTTTTTTTTTATTATTTACCCTCTAATTCAATCATGTCTTGACTAATGGCAAGAACACCAAAGGAGAAGAAATTAATTTAATAAACAAACAAAACATGTCTCAACAAGGTTCTCTTCACTTGGACTGTTCCCTTGGCCAAGGGAATCCCTTTACTTTTTTATTTTATTTATTTTTCTGTTTAATTGTTTTCTTAAAGTATTTGATGATGCTCTAGAATGAACAGAACGTGGTACTTAGGAAATGATGAAATGTCAAGTAATTAAAGGCACAACGAGGATGATGAATTTTAAGATTGTGTGTGTCATGGCAAATGTCTGGTAACCCTTGTGAGGGGGAAAAAACCTATGAAATGGGAATCTTTCTTTTGCTTCGTATGTCTTCCTAAGATACAACTTGCATGTGAGGTCTATATGTGCTCTAGATATGACACATGGTTTTATTGGATGCTTATTCACAAGGAAGTGACCTATGCTTAGACATTTTTTTTTTATTCAATAGAGTAAATATTTACTTTGGTTTTTAAATTTGAAAAATAGTGTTATGTTAGTTTTTAAGATTTTAAAAATTAAAATCAAACCCTCTATTTCCTTTTATAAGAAAAAAAAATATTTTTAAGCATAAACCAATTTTAACTATTTTTGTTGTATTTAATTATACTCTATAAAATATATTTTCTTTAATATATGACTTTTTAGTTACATTATTTTTCTAAACCTTTATAATTAGTGTAATTTAGAAAATTATTATAAAATTAATCAAATATAATGTAATTAAACGATTTATAACTATATGTAAAATTAATATATATATATATATATATATATATATATAACCACTTTAGTTATATATTTTTTGAGTTTTGCATTAATGTAATAGAGAATTTGTACTTTTAAGACTAATTTTATAATTTTTCACTTTCAAAGATTAATATAATAATGAATAATGTTTTGTATAATAACATAAGTATTGTTGATATTATTCTTTAATTTGAATTAAAGTTACACCTAAAGTTGAACATGGACCAACTCGACTCGCTATCCCGGTCCAGGATTGATTTAAATGATTTACACTATAAAATTAAATTCGATGTAATTTTAGGATGGATTTGAGTTACATTTCGAATCATCCAAATCAACTTAATATATAATATTCTTTTAAAAAAATATAAGTTTACTAAATTATTTTATATTAATAAAAAATTTATTTGATTAAAAATACTTTTTATAACATTATATTATATTTATAATTACATTATTTATTTAAAAATATATTATAAGATATATTAATTACATTAT